CAGGGACCCCCAGGGTGCCAGGATGGGGTGCAGGGACCCCCCAGGGTGCCAGGATGGGGTGCAAGGGGATGCAGGGACCCCAGGGTGCCAGGATGGGGTGCAGGGAACCCCAGGGTGCCAGGACAGGGTGCAAGGGGGTGCAGGGACCCCAGGGTGCCAGACTAGGGGGCGTGGGGGGTGCAGGGACTCCAAGGGGGCAGGATGGGGTACAGGGATCCCCAAGGTGCCAGGCTGGGGTCAGAGGGGTGCAAGGACCCCCCAGGGTGTCAGGATAGAGTCAGAGAGGTGCAGGGACCTTTGGGCATCAGGGTAGGGGTGCAGGGGCCCCCAGGGTGCCAGGCCAGGGTCCCGCGGGGGGTCCCGCTCACCGTTGACGAAGACGGCGAAGCGGAGGAAGTCGAGGTAGCGCTCGCCGCCGCAGGGGTTCCAAACGATGTCGGGGGAGCCCTTGGGGACTTGGAGAGCAGCATGGGGCAGCTCTGCAGCCCGCAGCTCGCCAGGTACATCACCACCTGGGCACAGAGCACGGGGGCCTCGCACGGGGGGCCGCGCATGGGGGGCCTCCCATGGGGACCCTGCACGGGGCAGCTCACACAAGGAGCCTTGCCTGGGGGGCTTCACACGGGGGACCTCCCATGGGGACCTTGCACAGGAGACCTCCCATGGGGACCTCCCATGAGGACCTTGCACGGGGGACCTCCCATGGGGGATCTCCCATGGAGACCTTGCATGGGGACATTGTACAGAACGTTTTACGGAGGACCTCACGTAGGGGACCTCCCACAGAGACCTTGCATGGGCACATTGCACGGAGGACCTCGCACGGGGATCTTGCATGGGACGTTGCGTGGAGGACCTCGCGTAGGGGACCTCCCACAGAGACCTTGCATTGGCACATCGCATGGACGACCTCACATGGAGGACCTCCCATGGGGGATCTCCCATGGAGACCTTGCGTGGGCACATTGCACAGAGGACCTCGCATGGGGACCTTGCATGGGACGTTGCACGGAGGACCTCATATAGGGGACCTCCCACGGAGACCTTGCACGGGCACATTGCACGGAGGACCTCACATGGGGACACTGCATGGGTGGCCTCCCCCGGGGCCGG